CTGTCCGGCTATGTGAATACTATAACAAAATTGATCTAGGATTAAAAAATGAAGATTGTTCAGATCATAATCACATAAGTGGATGGGGTATAATAATTAAACAGTTGTAGCGATCGCCAAACGAACCTGAAAAACTTCTAGTTGCTTTCGGAGCCAAACGATTTCAGCTTTGAGAGAAATAACCTCATTCTCGGAGGTTATCTGTTGTACAGCTCGGTTATGTATCCGTTTCACCCGAGAAGCATACTGAAAAAGGAGTGCAACAATTATACATGAAAAATAGTGAAATGTACGAAAAGAAGCTTTTAGCATAACTTACCAATAGTGTGTTGAGTGTTTCATGTTTGTCTTCCTTGGCTGGCGATATACATGCGATGAAGAGCGTTTTAGAATTACCACCGATAGAATCTGAGAGGAGTCTGGTAAGCTTTGATGAACGGTAAGGAATGTGGACACGACCCTCAGATAAAGAGTTTATTACATTTCCAAGCGCTAAGAGACCCATGTTAATGTTTATGCCCTCCTTGGCTCGTTCACCTTCGGCACCGGTTCGTTTGAGGCTTTCACTTCCAGCTAAATCGACAAAATTGATTTTTGAAGTAACTCTTTCGTTAACCTGTTGAGAAAAGAAAGAACTGATAGTGAAATACCCCGGCTCTATAAAAAAGAAAAAAAAGATACGCACCTCGCCCACACGCGAGAATTTTAGCTTTATGGTAAAAATAGCATGCGAACGAGAACTAGTTGCATTCATGTGGGTACAAGCGGTTTTTCTAGCATGACCACCTATAAAGAGAAAACGGAGAATCTGTGGAGGTAATAAATGAAGGGTTACTTCGTCAGATCCAGTTACTTCATGTGTAGTCAGGCCAGTCACTTCTACCTGATTGTTGCCCCTATCTCTGATCTGAACACCTGAGCTCACATTGTCTGGGCTCAATAAATCCCGTAGGTCGTCATTGTAGACCTGGGCATGAAATCTTAAGTAACACAAACCTCGACAAATTGAACTTGCATTGAAATGTTGTGATAAAAAGACAATTTATTAATAAGATACTTAATTGTCTGCGGTATAATCCCATCGGTTGTTCCAGCAGTATCCATAGTATGGGTTTTACCAGCCCCAGTCTACCATATTAAATACAAAAAACCGTTTACCTGTCCATATGCTAAAATTGTGACATTAAAACCATCAAGAATACTAGAAATAATATCAAAATATTTGAAAATACCTGCTGACAAGGGGCTTGACTGCGGCGGAAAAAACTTTATGCTGTGATGCTGTCTGGCCAAAGACATGATCAAAAGTGAACTCCTTTCCAGAAAAAAACAGTGTCTGTTTGTCCAAAGAAAAATCAGCAGTCTGCTCGCTATTTTTGAGAGGCCTAAGTCTGAAAAATATTATTTTGGTAAAAGGTTACCTGACAGATGTATCGACAGGATTCATGTTTAGAAACAAATACGTAATGGGCGGGCTATGCCAACTGCATCCCATCGAAGCACTTATAAGAAGCAAAAATATAAATGAAACTATTATAAGTTTGATTTAAGATTATTATCTTTATTTAAATATACTGAATCACCTATTTATTATGTATACTAAATATAATAGCTGACTTGACCAATCAATTTCGCACACTTCTCTTTGAGGCCTCGGTGACCATATCTTCTTATAAATCTGTGCTCGGAGCAAACTCACTTTTAGCATCATTCTATTGCTGTACAAAGAGTATATAAAATTAAATTGATCATTTAAGTGACCTTAAACAAAATGTTTACCTGCCTACCTTGTATACGTAACTTACATTTCTTAAATCTGAGCAATAAAATTACCAGTATATTCAATATTGATTTCATTAAGGTGAAAAAATACATTTGTGC